AGGGCTACAGTGATTTTAACCAAGCAAAGAATTAAGAATTGTTTTGCAATGATGTACTAATAAATCTGGTTACACCACATGACTTTATTTTCAGACAAAGTGAAAATTGAATGAGTCAAACATTAAAATTCACATAAAACAATCAATATTTTTGTGCACAGTTTGACCTAAAGTCCTCTGCTTAACTGTTAGTTTTTTGAGAAATAATAGCAAAATATTTTTAATTTATTTGTTTGTAGCCCTTTCCTTCAGTAGCCTTCATGGGTCAAGAACATTACGTAAGCTGGGCAATAGAAATGAGTCTCCAGGTTACACTAATGGACAGAAACTAACATTAAAATACCATTATCCATAATACATAATATGACTATCTTTTAATGCAGTGTTTATTACAATATTCTGAATGACCACTTAGGGATTATAGTGGCAAAAATGGCACTAGGTAGTTGTCTCAGCAGGATTTTCTAGATTCTATGGTAAGCTTTATTGTCAACGAAAATGAGTCCTCTGCATTCGACCCATATTTCAAACCAAGTCGCTTTCAAACTCAGAAGGCGACCATTGGTGGTTTTCATATACTAGATTGTGATGATGAATTTCCCTATCGATTACATTGTACTTTGCCATGAAATATCCAAAATGAGACCCAAGAACTTGCTATATTACGATAAAATTAACAATTAACAATATTACTTTTATCCCCCCATCATAATATTCTGTTGGCCAATAACTACTATCTTTGAATCTGAATTCAATTTGCCAATAGACAGTTATGATGGTATGATGTCACCTACCATCACCTAAAAATTGGTCCAGTATCTTTGTCTGGACTACATAGTTGGAGGATTGTGCATGTTAAGGTTGATGACTGAAAGCTACCTGCTTGTTTCCATGGAGATGTTTTTGCTTTGACTGGAAGATTCCACAATATGACTTTTAACTGATCTTTCACGCATTTATTGAACTACGAATGTTCTTGCAAACATACCTTCTCACTAGGGCTGGGTATCATTCAGAAGTTGCCGATACGATACATACCTTGATGTAGGGGCCACGATACAATACATATCTTGATACAATCCACTTTCGATTTGATGCGATATATTTCAAATCAATTTGATACGGTTCAATAAAAAATAAAGGCTAAATCATGGCTGTGGTACTAAAAGTCTTAAGGTTAAACCACTTCTTGTGCAAAGTTCATATGAAACACAAACCTTTTAATCCTGAAAAAAGTGAAAATGTCAAATCTGTCTCATAAACAAGTCTTTCTTTTAAACAAGCAACAAAACTGTAGCGCTGTAACAAAATAATTTAGTAAAATATACCAAAAAAACACTCTCTGCGATATATCGACACAGCAGCCCGCGATATCGATACTGTATCATCACATTAAACAATACATTCTATCAATATTTCGATATGTTCGCACATCTCTACTTCTCACTGTCATTTTGGTCACCTCTCCACAGATCTAACCTGTAACATGGCCTTGAGGTGTAACCTGCTTGTCTCCATGGAAATGTATAAGTTTAATATCATACTGTGGAACATTCCCCCCCAAAAAAATCATATCTCTATGGCGACAAACATCTGGCAAACCTTCCATCAGAATGTCAACAAGGATCTGGCAAACCTTCCATCAGAAAAGTTTCGTATTGCACCTTTAACAGGACTCCTACACTTTACACATTTCCACTCTCCTCACAAACTTTAATCTGAAAATGTTATCATGCTTGACCAGTGTGGATCAAATATTTCCTGAAAGACCTTCTTTCCCCCTCATCGGGACAAATTATCTTTTAGCTCTTTGTTTGTCCCATCATTATCGTATACCGCCGCTATCGACTCCCATTGGCACCCCATCATCTTCCCTTTGAAATATCCGCCATTAAAGATAGAAGGCGAGGGGGGAGTTTACTTATTACCCCAGACACAATGCTTCGGATCAATGCTTCGGTACGTAGCATGAAAGTAATCAAGCCAGCAGTATCAATAATAGACGGGACAATCGGGGTAGATGGGGCTCCTGTATTGTGCTGTTTGTGAATGGGAGAGTGGATTGCAAAGAGGTAGTCATTGTGCCCGGGTACGTTTCTCAGCTGTCATGGAGATTACCGCGGCGGCAATGATGGGAGTAGTTGTATGACGATAATGGAGGAATGGTTGACTGCGTTTGTGAATGATGAGGCCAGATGTTGAGAGTGGAACATTTAGTAGTGTAAGATAAGAAATGTGAGGTTCGAAGGGAGACTCTTCAAATTTGAAATCGTGAACATGACTTACAAAGCTGTTCGCTCACTAATTAAGGGGGAGTTGGTACGAACCTTGCCTATGTAGTTGTTGTTGTGTCTGTAAGCAAGACATTTCACCCTCATTATCCATTTGATTTTGTGCTAAAACTGTTGCAGCGTAACTCAGCTAAGTCAGTACATTTTTACAACTTCTATTTTTGTTTAGTGCTCATATTTTTGTAAGTAGTATTGCTATCCCTGGGTTTCTGAGTGCTGAAAAATTTGCACTGTTGCCAGTGATGAACAATTCATAACATATTATATTTGTTCAATGGAGAAAAAGTACTCAAAATGGCAGCTACAAAGAGGAAGCTAAAATAGATGTTGTTATTGCAAAAGCAGCATAGAAGTAGTGTACTAATAGCAGAGGTAGTAGTAGGTAGGTTGTAGTAGTATGTAGTAGTATGTATTAGTAATAGGAGTGGTAGGAGTAGTACTACTAATATTTAGCAGTAATAGTAGCAGTAGTAGTAGTTCTAGTAGTTGTCATAGTAAGTAGTAATAGCAGTGTAAACTATAGTAGAAGTAATGGTAGAAGAAACAGAACAGGAAGTAGTAGCTTTAAGTAGTTGTATTAATGGTTGTAGTAGTACAAAGTACTGTATTTTTCGGACTAAATGTCACTCCAGAGTATAAGTTGCACCAGCCCAAAAATTTGTAATGAAGCAAAAAACGTATATAATTCGCACCGGACTAAAAGTCGCACTTTTTGGGGGAAATTTATTGTATAAAAACAGACGAAGAACTGACATTTCATGTTGAAAGGCAAGTTGTAATAATAACAATGGAACAGAGAACAACAGGCTGAACTGGTGTCTGGTATGTTAACATAACGTATTAAGAGTTTAGATAACATAACATAAACAGTATAACATAAGTTTACCAAACTTTCCATCTCTCTCCAAATCACTAAATCCATTGAATTCTTCTTCCTCAGTGTCACTTCTGAGCAACTCCACAACCTCTGGTAAAAATCTCGACAGGATGCTTTCAGTTGTCACTGAAGTCACTGCTTTGTTGATCCATTCAGTGACTTCCAGGAAAGTTGCATGGCACATCCTCCCAGTTGTCACAAGTTTTTGCTCACTCCAAACTTTCTTTCTGCTACTCGATTACTGTTTTCGGCTGTAGTAGTATTAACTTGCAATATATAATAGTCATAGAAGGTAGTAGTAGTAATGTAAGTAGTAGTATAAACATGCCTATCTATTCCATGTTTGTCTTCACCGCCTCACCTCACTTCACCTTGGCACTCCTCTTGTCTATAGTTACTGAAACATTATCTGCGGCAGAGGGAGCCGTGTAGGTCACTCTGCACAATGCACACTTTGAAGCAGGCTTGAATGTAGTCGACTAGCACCCGTCAACACTTGATAACTGCGCCCTGTAGTGAGCACTTCCTCTCTGCACACTCCACACCTTGTCACTGCTACACCCCTGCTGCCTGTAGTGGCTCCAGTCGTTCTGCTTACTAGATTTCAAGGGGCTGTAGTTTTTATAGGGCTGTCAAAAGTATCCAAAAGCAGACGCTAATCGTTACTAAAACTGGCATTGAAACTAGGCACTCATACAAGCAGGTATGGAACTAAAAAGTCACATTCACAAGAGAGCTTTAGTTTTAGAATGATCTTGAGCTGTATCAGAACAAGTACAAGAGCACACAGTAGATGTAGTATATACACATGGACCACTATGGAACCGACCTGGACCTGGACACAGATATAGCACCACGTGGTAATATAAAAGAAAATACTATGATTTAATGTTGAAAATTACATTCTGTTATCTAAATAAATGTATTATCATTGCGGTATTGCGATCAGTATTGAGTATCAGGTTCTTAGTATCGAAATCGAGTTAGAAATTTTAGTATTATAGTATATTTAGTACCTTATTACTACTAAAAAAGTTATTACTCAATTTTACAATACAGTCCTAGCATCTTAATTACTCACCATACAGCAATGTTATGGCCGTTTTTCACAACTTTCACAGATTAGAGTGGAGTTTTGCCATCACAATAATGCTACCAACAACCAGCATGCTAACAGCTGACTTCCTGAACCTCTGACGATAAAATACATTTTAATTAAGTGCATACAGCACACAACATTCTCATTTTACATAACCCTAAGAGCTTCTTTTACAATAAACCTGTACTATTTTTTCTCACTTACTTGGAAAGAAGCCTATACAGCTGTTTAAATGCATTGAATAGGCTCATTGTTAAAGGTGCATTGTGTTACTTTGTTGGTGGAGGGTCTGTCAAATGCTTTTCCTCATGGAGTTGTTATTGCTTTGTCTGGAATATTTCACAGTATGATATTAAACCTTTCTATTCACATGGAGACAAAACCAGACCAAGTTACAGGTCAAATTTGTAGAATGGCAAACCTGCTCACTGTCATAATGCTTGTTTTTCTAAGTATTTTTGAGCTATAAAACCACCTGTAGATGTTTAATATCATACTGTGGATCATTCCTGGCAGTGACATCTCCACAGAAACAAGCAGCCAACCTCTAAGTTAATTTATTTTATTTGTATATTTTTGAAGCTGCTGTGTTTGAGGCAGTTTAATTACCACCACTGTAGCCACAATTGGTTGAATAAATCATCTGGTTTCCACTGTACGCTGGCTCATTGGAAGTATTTAGGATCTGTTTTCAGTTTTGCCTGGTGTAACGTGTCCTTCTCTTCTCTTTCAGGTGGTGCTGGTGTTTGCGCTCAGCATCGGGGCCCTCGGGATTTACTTTATAGACTCCTCAGAGTAAGTAACACTGTACTGCCTTACACCTCACATACATAACATGTCAAAGGAGGGGGGAAGCACTTACGTCCTATATTACATCAAATTGATTCTTGGGAGCTTTAAGTCATGGTGTAATGTTGTTATCTCTCCAAAAACATTCCTGGAGTTGTGTTTTGTTTCATTCACGCAAGTTTGAGTAATCTTTTATTCAGTGTGATTAGTTCAGTCCAGAGCTGAAATCATCCAAATGATTCTAGTGAAAGTGTATGGAGTTTAAAAACACACTGGAGCACTTCCTGTATTACCACATGACATCACACGGTGACATCAGACTGTTTTTTGTCGTAGTCGTTTTTGTAGTAGTAGTAGTGGTGGTAGTAGTGGTAGTAGTAGTGGCAGTTGTAGTAGTGGTAGTGTTAGGCAGTAGTAGTAGTGGGAGGTAGTAGTAGTAGTAGTAGTAGTAGTAGTAGCAGTAGGTAGTAGCAGTAGTAGTAGTAGTGGTAGGTAGTAAGTAGTAGTAGGTGGCGGTAGTAGTAGTAGTAGTGGTAGGTAGGTAGTAGTAAGTAGTAGTAAGTTGTAAGTAGTAGTGGTAGGTAGTAGTAGGTAGTAGTAAGTAGTAAGTAGTAGGTGGTGGTGGTAGTAGTAGTAGTAGTAGTAGTAGTGCTAGGTAGTAGTAGTGCTAGGTAGTAGTAGGTAATAGTAAGTAGTAAGTAGTAGTAGCTGGTGGTGGTAGTAGTAGTGCTAGTAATGGTAGGTAGTAGTAGGTAGTAGTAAGTAGTAGTAATTGGTGGTAGTAGTAGTAAGTAGTAGTAGGTAGTAGTAGTAGTAGTAGTAGGTAGTAGTAGTAGTTAGTAGTAGTAGTTAGTAGTACTGGTAGTTTTAATTAATTTAAGGACAGTTTGTAAAAAGTAGTTACCAGGCCAACCACAGGTTTTGAGTAATATAGGACCTTTAACCAACTAGAACCAGATATTTACTACTTTATTTCTATTATTTACCTGTTATTGTGTGTTAAGTGCATTTGCATTATCAACATGAGCCCTTCCACCTCTGCATTATGTGGATAAAAATAGCTCGTTGCTGTCACTCTCACACACACGTGCCTCTATACATTATAATCCTACATATGTCAAAATACTAATGTGCCAGCCCACCCCCACAACTCTCAGATACACGCACATATACACACACGTACACACTACTTTTATATCTGAAGATTTGTCAATGGGTGGTCTGTGAGTTGCCATGGTAACAGCGGGAGCCCATAGTGAGGCGGGTGTGTGGAGATGTGTGCTGGCACCTTCCCAGAGACAGATTGCAGCCCTGGAATCCGTCCAGCAACCACTGCAGCCTCTGCCTAAGGTCCACCACACAGTCACTGTAATTGTTATAAGACACTGATTGTGATTAAAAAAAGAACATATAGTATGATTTTACAATATACACTGACTCTTATGCAAATGTGTTGGCTACTTTTTGTTTTTTTCTCATTGGTTCGGGCTTAGCTGCTGTAAACTACCACATATAAACAACTTGTTTTCTCGTACATTGGCCTACTGTAAAGTGACTATAATGGCTAATTACTGGACATGCATTGATATGTAAATGAGCTCTGAATAGATGTGTGAATGGTCCACATTTAATTAATTAAGGCAACACGTACACATTTTCCACTAAAGACTAATAGCGGTAGTTTGTTTACGCTGTTTACTGGCTAGAATGTCTTGCAAAATTGCCATTAGGCCGATCTACTGTCTTTAAATATGACCATAAAGAGACAGAATAACAGTAAAAGTAGCTGAAATAAACCCAATTTAACGTCCAGTTGAGCCGGTTTTATAATCAGTTGAAGATTTACAGTGAATTTTACGCCACTAAATATTTCATCTGTTATATCGCCTATCAGCATGTCCAAAGCCCGTTTTATCGGTATGATATCGTATCCCAAAATATTCATATCGGTCGGCCCTAATCTCTACATCACCAAAGCTCAAAATGCTCTGTTCCACCTTGTGATGTAATGTAGTTTTCAAGTTAACAGATACATTTTACCTTTTGTTCAGAAGAGTTTGGTAATTCCAGGGCTGAAATTATCCGAGTTCTAGATTCTAGTGAAGTCAATGGTTTAATGGAACTGTATGACTGTTCATACAGAAGATTTTGATTGGAAAGTCTGTAAATGTGTCCCCAGATACGAGTTAAACATGTTCAAATCAAATATAGCTTTTACTGATCACAATTGTAATACTACTTTTTTATTACTAAAAACATGATGGCCAAGTTTATTAATTTTGTGTTTTGGTTCTCAAGATGATCATCCGAGTCTCTGATTTGGGTTGCCAGTTCCAGTGCTGAAATCCAGTGTGTTTAAAACTAAAATGCCACTCTCTGATCTGAATGGTCACTACCTGAACCCCAGGACCCACAGAGAAACATGAATCAGTGCTAGTGGCCTCTGCAGCTCAGTGAGTGAATTCTGGAGGTTCTGAATAAGTTTTGGACAGTACGTGCATGCGCCTGTTTGTTTAAAGGTGCACTTTGGCTACGTTCAGACTGCAGGGCTTAATGCTCAATTCAGATTTTTTTGTGAAATCGTTTTTTTTTGCGAGGTCGTTCACATTTCCAATTAAATGCGACTTGTATGTGATCTTCAGTGTGAACTTTAAATGCCCCAAAAGTGTCACTCATGCGCATTGGAGGACACAATGACATCACACGCAGTGAGTGTGCTCAGTGTTTACGGAAGTCACCTAAACGCTGGGCTTGTCTCCCAAAATACGGTCCAGTTCTTGGTGAAATGGACAGGTTACACGACCACGGCTGCTTCGTTTGTTTGAGTCTGTCCACTTGGTTCTGAAAAGACCCCTCAAATTTGGCCTGAATACAGCGATCCTCCCCAATATGAATGAACTCTCTAACTCTTTTTCCGTGTAGGTGGGATGAATGCGACCTGGCCATTCAGACTGAAGTCACATGTCAAAAGATCGGATGTGTATCGGTTTTAGGACCACATATTCAAGAAGCCTGGGTTGAATTTGAAAAAGTCGGATCTGTGTCGTTCAGATTGTCATTAAAAGATCAGTAAAAACGGATGTAACTTTTTTGGTTCGTCATCAAAAATCCGATTGCTTTGCTTGAAATGTTCCTCAGTACGTCCTTAAATATGTCTTGCTATTAGTATTATTTGCTTATATAAGTATTATTTTTGCTTATATACATTCTTATCATGAGCAGTGTCGTCTCCACAAAAATGCTTTACTGTGGAACAATTTAGGCAAAGCAACATCTTTCCATGGAAACAACTAAGTGACAGCCCCTTGACTAAATTACAGTTTTTCCTGTAATATAATGTGAGTCATTTTTGTTGACAAAGAACAAATTGTGATGAATGAAGTCATAGCAGAAGTTAGATTTACGCACTTATAGTTATGGAGGTGCTTAGCTTGTGCTGTATTAATCCTTTTCATTTGAATTTATTTGCTAATATGAATTTGTCAGGAGTTTTATTTACGCTGTATGTTGACGTTTGATTGAAGCAGTGTTTATATCATACTTAGTCGTGCTGCTGGAGGTGGAAATGCTGTACCCATAAATGAGTCAGCCAGAGGACACTGCTGACTGGTCACATGTGGAAGATTTATTGAATTTAGATTTTATTTTCTACATCGCTGCATTACTAACACTGCTTGTACCTGAGATAGATTCATTTTTACTATCACGCTATGACAGCAGCAGTTCAATGCCCACTGTGCTGGCAATATGTAGTGCTGTTGTGTCACTGAGCAAGACCTTTACCTAAACTACCAATGTCTGAAAACAAGCAAAACTGAAAGTAAGCTACTTTTTACTACTACTACAACTACTATCACCTCTACTACTGCACACTCTATACACTATAGACCACTGTTTCCCAAAGACAAGAGATTTTTTTTGGGGGGGGTTGACTTGTCACAATGTGGATGTAGGTCTGCACTATACATACACATACTTTGTCCACACCTGTAAGTAGTTCATATGGTTTCATGAAAAATGTTTGAAAAATGCAAAAGATAGCTCAGTGTATTAGATTACAAGAGTGGGGGTGGGATTAAATACATTTTCCTTTTTTGGTCTAATTTTTTGTTGTGGTTATTTTCATTTCTTTTATGATTTCACTTATGTTCCATTGTATAAGAATTCAAATCTCTAGTTGCGTTCTTCATTTCTCCATGCACAGAATCTTTGCGCACTCCTGCTCCTCACTTTTTTCCCCCCTTGTTTAAAACTTGAGTACCGTATTTTTCGGACTACAAGGCGCACTTACAATCTCTTAATTTTCTGAAAAATCGACAGTGCGCCTTATAATCCGGTGTGGTTTATGTATTAATTCCGGTTGTGCTTACTGACCTTGAACCAATTTTTACATATATTCCTCTGAGTTGTGTCCTTTAGTCCAACAGAATCTGAAAGGCATCAACACACAAGGAGCGAGCCATGTGGTTTTAAGTTTCTTTTCTGTAAAGCATAAACAAATGTGCATAAAGTTGCTAATGTCTATTGACTTGGGTTGTGAAGATTTGTGACTTTTAAAATATGGGTCCTCAGAAAAAAAATACTACTACTACGTCTACCACCACTACTACTACTACTTCTACCACCACCACTACTACTTCTACTTATAATAATACCTTAGACTTACACTAGCACTTTCCAGGCTTGTCAAAACCTCTCAAAGCACTACACTGCTGTCCTTATTCTTTCACTCCACACTCTGGTGAGCGAATATTGTAGCCACAGCTGCCCTGGGACAGACTGACAGAAGCAAGGCTGCCAATCCATTCCATCAGCTCCTCCGACCACCACCAAACATTCACGCACACTCCACTTTCATACTACCTACTGTGCTTTGTGCTTCAAAGCTGTAGCATATTTTGCTTTTGAAAAATACATGCAAACGAATATTGTATCACCATTCCTTTGTACCGTATATTTGTTCAGATCTGTATTTCTCCCTATGGACCACCGGCTCACATGAATGA